GCAGTATCATTTGGTCATGTGACATAACGATGTATTTATTTGCATTTAAACTTGGTGTTCGGAAACTTTTGGCGGGGTCTGTATATGGGATATTTGGACGCACGATTTATATTGGAAGGTATGGATCAGAAAATAATTTATTATCTTGATTATTTATATTTGTTATTATTAACCAGCAAGACATTGGCTTTATGATCATCTTCTCAACTTCGATAATTATATTTTACTCAGTTGCTGAAACTGAAAACTTAAGGAGAATAATTCATTTCTCGGAAGGTGAAAACATAATCAAATAAATTCAGTTTTGTTCATCTTTGACGTAAGTTTATTTATTCCACGTACTTCAAATTTTTTTTTATTTCTTTTTTCCTAAGGAAAATGAATTTTTAATATATAGGATTTACAAAAATGAATTTCCAGAGAAGTACAAAAAATTTCGGATTGGGTAAAAAGTGCAGCACTTTCTATTGATTACAAGTTGGAATGTATCACAACTGGATCTTTTGGACGAGGAAGTCCAGTCTGTGAAGATATTGATATAATGATCACAAGGAATGATTCTGATGGAAAGAATCATCTTGGTAATTATTTAAACTTGAAATTTCAAAGTTATATTTTTATACCGTAATAAATTTCAATCCATTTAGGTGTTTTAACCAAATTAATTGAAATCTTAAGTAATCAAGGATTCTTAACACATGAATTAACACGCCATGATGGAGATAGTCTTTTTGCAAAATTTATGGGAATTTGTAAATTGCCCGAAGAAATACATAGACGTTTAGGTTTATGCAATTTTTTATTTAAATTGAATCTTTATCAATAACGTGACCAGTTGACTTAGACTATCTGTTTTATTTTTCCATAATAGATTTATTTACAATATCTTATAATGAAATAGGTGCCTCATTACTTTCGTACACTAGTAATGATATATTCAATAGAAATATGAGATTGATGGCCAGAAAAAGGAAAATGTGTCTAAATCAACATGGATTATATATGAATGTTTCGCATGGATAAAGTGGAGTCAAATATAATAAAAGCAAATTACTTGCTCAAAAAACAGAACAGGAAATCTTTGACGTATTAGGAGTTCCATGGCGGTAAATAATCTCGCTTTTAAATATTGATTTGCATATTTAATAATTTTTTATATTAATTATTTTCCGACTTTTTATTAGCTCACCGAATGAAAGGAACTGTTTATAATTTTTATCAATTGCTTTGGGCTATTCTAGATTGGAACTTTATTACATTCTAGCCCAGTGCAAGAAATCACATTACTAACATATCATAATGATAATGGTTAGTTGGTAGAACCTGAATGGTATTTGCCAATCCAGCCAATGATCCTGGTTATGGATCCGAGGGTATTGGAACCGGTGAGTTTATGTACAGTACATTTGGGAAGTAAGCTATTAAAATCACGTTACAGATCATATGATTTACTATGTTCGTAACTCGATTTTAATAGCAAACCTCCCATTTAGTCCATTTCGATCGTATCAGCATATCAAGTGTCTTCGTAAACTTTGCATCTTATAGCTTATCTTGTGAGTTATTATATATTGCACATCTCTACTGATAGACACTAATTGGAGATGACTCTACACTTATTCTTCCTTCAGAACATCTCCACTTGTGCTATTCTTCAATGAATAGTTGCAAAAATTTTTAGATATCTACATGTTGATCTGAAATAACACTTGTTCCGCCATCTTAAAAGTTCTAATCGGTAGTCTGAACAATATCCCTTTAGAATCACAATCCAAACTTTCCAATTTTGGTGTCATCTACAAATGTTCTTCTAACTCGAAGTTTAATTGGTAACCTCTTTCAATAAATATATATTACAAGCATGATGCTAAAATTATGTTTTTCATCTATTATTACAGAATATCGTGTGGTTTTAGCATCTTCTGCATTATACATTGGGTCTAATTCTCAAATCTTTTATCATCCTGAATGCTGTCTAACCAATTTTTTTTAGTAAGGTTACCTAAATACTTTCATTACTTAGTGATAGACCAGCTTTGCGTGTGATATGATCTTTCGATAAATAAATAAACTATTATAAAGCACCTAATATTAACGATACAAACAGGTAGATAACTAAACCAATGCCTTCTGAATAAAGTCCAATTATAAAAAAATAAGTTCGTAAGATTTTGTTTAAATGGAATTGTGAACCTCCTGTTGTTGCTAATGTGGTGAAATAAACAAATCTACATTTGCATTTATGAAACTAAATTTAAATGTAGCTTGCCTATTTGATAATTTATCCTCTTCAAAGCTTCACCTTAATAATTACAGCAAAATCTTGTATCTTGTAGTGATTTCTTTCTATCAAGTTTCTATTGCATATGTTGCTGTTGCTCGCTACTTCTACAGGTTGGTAATTTTACCTTTATAGCTGTATCTTGTGAGTTTTCGTACATAGCACCTCCTACCGGTAGACACTGTCTGAGATGACTCTATCTTATGTCATTTACTTTTGCAATTTCTTCTTCTTGTGTCTGCTATTGCTGCAAAATAAATAAATTAAAATAAGATTGTGAAATTTTTTTTTTGCTGGCATTTAGAAACAAATTAACATGTATTTACCTCTTATTTCTTCCATCATAATAGCTGTTATTATAGTCTGATTGCTAGTTTCATCTCGGCATCTTACCTTTTATAGCTTAGCTTGTGAATTTTCGTACATACTATTGTTATGTCAACACCTATTCGTAAATTTTCTCTTCCTATTCGTTTAAAAGGAATTATATAAATCGATAAGCATTCCTTCTAATACTTTATTCTTTTTTTTTGGAGTCATCTCTGCTTCATATGTTTGTTTTAATTGGGACAAATGATCGACATAAATTTTAGTTTTTGTTTTCTCTGGTCAATGGAAATTCAGACATAAATTCTAAGATTCTGCTTGAAAGAATGGAGGCAGATATCAAGATAAGATTGTCTTTCTTGAATTTTGTAACAATTTTAATAATAATTTTGAAAGTATAAATAAAAATGTCTGTAAAAATTATTTTATTTTTTCATTTATGTAGAAATTAAAATTAAATCCTTACTTCCTTAAAGCATTTATTCTCTCACAAAGATTTTTTCGAACTTATCATCATAATTCTCTCATATCTACAAGTTACTGCTGTTGTTGCAATTGCTATTGTTGACGGTTATGAACCATTTTGTTTCAAAAACAGAATTTTTGTTACCTATTCTTATTTTTTTAAGAAAATAAAGAGAGAGCAATTTTTGCCTAAATGTCTAAATGCAGATGTTGCATAACGCATTTATGCTCTAACATAATAATGTTAGCTTGACTTAAGGCAGTTGGTTAATTTGACGTCGTCGTACACGTATATATAAATTAAAAAACAGAATAGGATTAAAAATTGACTAATTAGACGGTATTAAATAGTTAGGAAAGAGATTTAACTTATAGAGATAAAAAGTAAACCATCTTAAATACGTACCTCTGCGGTGTTTCATCTGAAAATAAGTCATTTTCCTAATAAATATGAGAACTTAAATAATTTTCATTCTTTACATTTTATTTTAAAAATACAGAACAAAATCTTTTGAGATATATAAGAATATCTAAAAAAAAAGGAACAAAAAGGGAAAGGGTTACCTTAAACCATTTTAGATAAGAAAAACATATATATAAGTAAAGATAATTTACCATTCTTCTGGATTAAGATGATAAGGATGCAAATACGTGACTTGTACGAATAATTATACCAGATCGAGCTTAATTTTCAATCAGAATAAATTTGTGACATTAAGAATCGTCCAATTAAAGCTTGTTGTGAGGCAAATTTCAAAAATTTCCTTTACGTTATCCACATCTCGCAATGGATAATAAATACCTACTTTGACTTCTTCAACTAGTATATAGACGAACACCAAGCGGCAGAAATCTTGAATTACAGCTTTAATGTTCATTACTAAAGACTGCGTCACACCTGAGTTATCCCTAGTTGGATTATAATTTCTAATATTTTTATTAAAATTATCAATAAAAATTTGAGCTATTTTACGAATAATTCGATCAATAGATAATGCTGATAGTTTTAAGCGTGCGTGAATATTCACGTAAACCAAGACCAATTAAAAATATTTCTACAAAAAGAAATGAAATTTTTTATGTTATTTGTTTTTGCATAGGTAATTCAATGAGAAAATAATATAAATTAGTATAGATGTACCTTCCGATGCATTATGAGACCCATTTTATCCTTATCAAATCATAGGTATTCCACAGTATAGTGCTATAAGAACCAAATAATAAAGCATTGAATTCCTTAATTTGAATCTACATTATATTCTTTAGGCCAGATGTCTGTATTTGTTTTTCAAATGCTTGGATTCTGATCAAATACTGTATATTAATATTTTCAGAAATTTAGTCATGTTGTCTAAATATTACGAATTACATATATAAGTAATAATTATTTTTTTCACCTTTCAACGCCCAAGAGTTGCACTACATATGAACGCATGAAGTTTTAAATTTTGATTTTCGTAGTCGGAGAATGTATTATTATTTTGGAAATAAGCTTCATTAGGAAATATCATTCCTGATTCGGTGGGAAACCATTTCTTTTGAACAAATAATATATATTATATATTTTGTAGATTCTCTCATATCCAATGAAACAAGCCTGATCTTTATCGTCGGTTGATCTCCGTTTGGTAAATATTTGATATTCACCGCTAATAAAGTGCCATTACTTATCTACCCGAAGAAACACCATACAAATATACCACGAATTAGTCTCAATCATTAAAAAAGAAAATCTTTTTTTAAAAATATCTTACTATGGGTTTTCAATACTTAAATCAACGAATAAAGCCTATGAAAAAAGCTCCTTAAAGTAATAAGGTTTAATGACAGAATTATCAAAAAAATAAAAGGAACTTAACATGTACTTTGTGCTCTTCAGTTTTCCTTCGGTAATTCTCTTTAATCGATTCCAATCTTGAGATCTGAATTGTTTTTGAAAGATTCCTCAATATAATTTACTCTGTGTCTGGATTTATTGTTTCAAATCTATTAGTATGCTTGAAGACTATCTATGTTAATAAAATGAATACTATACTCAATCATCTAACAGATTATGAATCAAACGTGAAAATTCATCAAAGAAAATTGTACTGGAATTTTTGAATTTTGCATTAACTCTGATACACTATATATTCAGAAGAAGGTTTAAATGTAAAATTGAAATGTTAAAAATTACAAAAGCAATGAAATAAAAACATAAAATTCTTAAAATACCTTGTAAATACCAAGCCAACAAACGTCGTTAGTTAACTTTTACGCGTTCCTCGCTAAAATTCGAAAAAACATTGTTTTCAAAATCGTCCAGGGAAAGGAAAATTGGATTTGTTAAAATGAGAGTATTTAATTTTTATAGAAAATTTTATTACAATGATTGTTGTATTGTTGCCTAAAAAGGAACTAGTTCACCAAACATTGAAAGTTTAATATTGAGTTTGTAAAAAAAAAAAAATTTCTCTGTTTGGTTTGTTGATTGAACTTTGTGTAATATATTTGGTATTACATAATTAAGATCAAACGACAGCGTTTTTCATTATTAACGATAGAAAATAAATAAAATGTGATAATATATGTAAGTTTAAATTTTCAAAAAAAAAAAAAAAAGAAAAACTTAATTAACACAGGAAATTAAACATAAAAATTGATTTTTAAAGAGTTTAACTCAAATAATTTTTGTAATTAATAGATATTTATGTATTTATTTATTTTTAAATACGTTTAAATATTTAAAGTTCGTGTTACTTGATTTTAAAGATTTAGACTATTTAACGGAATGGGAATAATAATTAAATAATTGGTTAAATCTAAAAATAAATATATCATAAGGGACATGATTCACGCGCTCAATTTATCGAAAAATTTTTCCTTTAAAAATTCGTTTCTTTTTCGTAGCCCTTAATAAAAACAAATAATACTCATAATGAACCGCTCCACCTTTTAATAAAACTGGCAC